GAGTAATTCTTTGGTGATTCTGCCTGCATAGGCATGTCAACTATAACTTATGATTATTAAAATTGAAAATCAAATACAGTGTGTACCAGAGAATTTACAACTGAATTTATTGACTTAAACAAAGAAAGAATGTGTTTATGGAAAGATAAAGATAAAAGTTACCTAAATAAACCTACCTCTAGACCCAATAAGCGACACAAGCTACCGTTTCGTCTACCCGGCCTGGGTCAAGCAGGCCAGCTAGACGTTCTTCTGAGTGTAGGTCTGAGCGGAGCAGAAGCACGGTGATACCTTCGACTGCTCCACAAAGCACTTGACTTCACTAGAGAGGGACGTATCACCAGCTTTGCCGCTATTGCTGGACAAGTGAAAATGGCGGTGCTACCAAAGGATTGCCCAGAGGCTGCACTGACCACCGACCAGCAAACGGCTCTAGAAGAGGCGATACTGGACGAAGTAGTGGCGACCGGATTGCAACACAACGATGTGGGTCAGCTGCGTTTTGCGGGGATACACTTTCGGGTGGGCATGATCCTCAATATCCTCATAGATTGTGTATCTCAAGAATCAGCGGATTGGTTGGTGGAAATCGTACCTAAGCTTAAAAATTGACAAGGGTCGGAAATGTTTGCGGTGAAGGGAGAAAACATCCCAAGAAGGAGTTCATCCCGAGGTTGCAGTGAAAGGAGAAAAGCTCCTCTGCGGAGGAGCAAGGAGGAGCAAGGGGAAAGACACCTGCTGAGCCTTTATCCAGGCTCAGAACTCCAATGTAACGACATCGAGTTGGCAAGTCATAACTCGAGGAGGTCATAGTCAGGTCCTCACAATAGAAATTGGCCTCAATCCAAGGAGGTAATAAAGAAAGGGGGATATATCCTCTATTATAGATTCGGGAGAACACCAGTATCGGGTCTAAAGAGAGACCAAGTTAAAGAGGTAAAGAAAATGGAGACAGATCCTCTAGCCTCCATCTCACGGGTACCTCAGCTGGAGGCAAGCTCCTCGACTGTGGAGGGCACGGAGGGCCAAACTCCAACCGTGGAAAGGTTTATACCCTCGGAAGAAGAATATCTGAATACCGTAAAATGTATAGACTGTATGATGAGTTATAACTCAAGGAACGGGGGCGCACTTGATCTTTAAGGTCGCAGTGATTACCCCCCCCCCCACTCATTCTACATTCTACGTTAATAAAAACTTAAAAAGAGAAATCTATGAGGACTTGGTTAATTTTTGTGTTTCAGATATTGCAGGTATTTATAAAATACCTACAATTATTTGTTATCTTTTTATTGTACGGGACTGAATGCTCAAAAATCCCTTGCGTCTATCAGCAGACGGTTGTATATATTCCGACTTTTTTGTGATCATTATTATAGCCGAAAAATCTATTGGTCTAACTTTACTTGTGATCTTTGACTGTGCTATTGTCTAAAAAAATCTTAAATTCTGAGGATGTTTTTTGTTCTATAATAACAAAATATATATTTTTAATTGAATATTATATACAGGGTCTCCCAATATTCCGTGGACATAGAACTACTACGCATTTTTGAAATCAAAATAAGTTCATTGGGCACAATTTACCTCTAGATAAAAGTGCTTCGTTTGTCCGTAGATTTTAAGAGATTTTCATAGAAGAAAATAAACACATTTTTTTAAGATATTTTAAGAACCGATATTCCGATTTGAATGAGATTTGAGGTGCATAATATGTTTTGCTAAGGGCTTTAACATTTAACATTCACAAAACACAAGAAGTAGTACGGGAAGGGTAAAAATTACCCCCACCCTTACATAAATTTTAGTAGAAAATATTTTCCAACTCCACCAACGACTCAACGACAAATTCTTTTTCGCAATGGTCCTCCTAGTATTTACTACATTTATTGTCTCTTATAAAAGAGAAAAAAAATTGGAGAATTTTTTTTCAAGACAGATCTACAAAATATACAGGGAGTTCCAATATTCCATGGACATAATACAGCTACGTATTTCTTGAACCAGAATAAGTTAATTGCGTACAATTTATTACCTTTATACAAAAATACTTCGTTTGTCCGTTAAAAGGCTACGTCTATGTCTACAGAATATTGGGACATCATGTATAAACAATAAAAATTGACAATTGTTATTTGAGAAATACAATATCTGAAAATGTGTTTTAGGATCGAAACATACCAAAAATATTTACCCCTAAAATATTTGCACTTACTTAAAGCTTATACCCTGAATTCAGATGCAAAAAAAAAACTCAGCGGAGAAAAATTTGGTCAAATTTAAAGTGTTATATTTTTGTTATTTTTAGCCCTGTTTTCATGAGTTTAATAAGTTTAATTCGTAAACTAACATTTATATTAACTTTAGTATTTGGCATATTATACAGTATTAATCGAGGGTTGTTTTTTACCCTAACTTTTAAACATCCTGTGCAATAATTTCGTTTGTAAATTTTCCTAAAATATAATTTTATAGTCAGAATCATGACTCCTGAGCATTTTGTTTTTTGATTCATGTCAATACATGCTTTGGTTAAATTTTAAAGATCGAAATGAACTGATCGTGATCAATTTACAACTTTTACAATTATTATTTTAATTTTTTAATATGACGAGATGGTTGGTGACTACTGTCGTAACATCATATTACGCTGCATTGGATATTAAATTATAGACTAACGATACAGTCCTGGTTTTAATAAATATTCAAAACCATACCAGAAATAACGATATTTCAGAGAACTAACGATATTGAAGAAAACATCTGTACTACTCAAGTATACAAACAGAAAAAAAGTGTAAAAAATACCCTAATACTTTGTATTGCCTCCCTTGGCTACTATAACTGCCTATATACATCCGTTCATACTGTCATTGGGGCTGCATATATCATATTGCGTTATGCTTTTCCATTCATCTACCAAGCGAAGTTCACTTAATGAAGCTTACCGCTCCGCGATCTCTAAGCCTCTTGAAAAATAACTTAAAAAAAATAAAAAATTGCAAATTATTGATGGCAAGTTCGTTTCGCTCTTAAAAATTAACCAAGGCATGTATTAACATGATCCAAAAAATATAATGCTCCGGATACGTGGTTCTGACCGTAAAATTATATTTAGAAAAAATTATACACGAAATTATTGCATAGGATGTTTTAAAGTTAGAGTAAAACAAAAACCTCGATTAACCCTGTATTACACTTGCGTGCATAGAAATCGGCCCAAGGCAGAATTTTAAAGTTAACTATATATTTTTTAGAATCTATTTGTCAGATTAAGAAAAAATACATGCTGTTTGAAAGACAATTTCATATTCTTTGGAAACAGTTTAGAGATATTAATTTGTATTTTGGTTTCTTTGAATTAAAATTATTAAATTAATGCATGAAAGAGAGGTATGTTATTATTTATTTATTTATTTATGGACAATTAACTAAACTAAATTTTCAATAATGGGTATGACCCCTTCTTGCTCTAACAACATCTCTCATAAGATTTGGCATAGATTCGATCAAATTTGATATTGTTTCTTGCGGGATGTTAAGCCACTCTTCCTCTACTGCAACAATGAGCTCTGGGATAGAAGTTGGGGCTCTTCGTCTAGTACGAATTCTTCGTTTTAGCTCATCCCATAAATGTTCTATCGGGTTTAAGTCTGGACTGCATGCTGGCCATTCCATAACCCAAAATCCGACTTCTGAAATGTAATCGTGTACGATTCTTGATGTGTGTGCCTTCGCATTGTCATGCATAAAAGTGAATTCGTTTCCAATGTAGTCGACGTAAGGTACCACATGAACTGCTAAAATCTCCTCAATATACCTAGCACCAGTTAAACCTCCTCTCCCGTGCCGACGGTCGCCCCAACGGATGAAAACTGGGTCGGTTCGCGCAGTCATAGAAATTGCATCCCAGATCATGCAGGAACCACCTCCATAAGCAATCCGCCCCTCAATGCAGCATTCTGCGAATCGCTCACCTGGCCTCCGGTACATTTTTTTTCTTTGGTCGCTACCATAGAGGCATATCCTGGTCTCATCTGAGAATAAAACAGGTTCCCATTGTTATAGTGTCCAATTCAGATGTTCCAGTGCCAATGCAGGCGTGCTTGACGATGAGCTGGGGTAAGTTTTGGACCAATTGCGGGTGTTTTGGGGGTCATGTTACTTTCCTTCAATCTTTGTCTTACTGTCCACTGACTAATAGTCACTCCTCGTGTTTCACGGAGCTGTTGTTGCACCTGAATAGCATTAAGATGCCGATTTCTTAACATTGTTGACACAATAAAGCGGTCATCACGATCCGTTCTATATCTCTTTCTACCAGTTCGAGGTCGACTACGAAAGGATCGAGTCTCCTCATATCGTTCACACACTCTTCGAACCGCTCCGCGTGTCATATGTAGTTGCCGAACTACAGCTCTCTGTTTAAGTCCATTTTCGATTAAAGCGATTACTTGGGCAGCTTTTTCCGGTGATGTATGCATTAAATTGAAACACTAATCAAACAATGAAACAGAACTAATCAAAGAATAAAAGAACAATATGAAAATTTCTATTACAAAGGTAGTAATTGCAATATTTGACAAGTTTGTTATTCTTATTGTCACCACAACACAAATACCTTTTATTTGTTTACCCGTTGGTACGCATATAAACGATAAGTACCCTGAATAAATTTATGCTCATATTAAAGCATGTTAAATTGTCTTTGAAACAGCTCATATTTTTTACTTGCCACGATAAATAGATTCTAAAAGACACAGTTTGGTTTGGCACGTAAGTTTATATGCCAAATATATGATAATATGATATAATATGAATAATATAATAAAGTGAGTTTACGAATAAAAGTTGATATAATTATATACAGCTTGCAAAAAAAATCATGAAAATAGGACTAAAAATAACAAAAATATAACACTTTAAATTTGAGCAAACATTTCTCCGTTGTGTTTTTTTTTGCATCTGAGTGTATAATTTAAAGGAACACAGATACTTACATTTTGATGTACCCTCACTGTACTACCAGTTTTTAATACTATCACATCGAAAGATCGATCTTTGACATCAATCACAACACAATTCTGGATATATGGTTGATGTTTGTCCACATAAAAAGCCAAATATAAATCACTGCTTGCTTCTCCAGCTCTAAAACATCATTTGTATATTATGTAAATGGGCTTCCCAACAAAAAGTGGTAAATGGAATAACATAAGACACACAAACAACACATACAAACATGTTTAGCAAAATATATGTCTAGGTTTAAATATTTGAAAAAACCATGACCTCATGGTGTGTATCCATTGACTGCGGCTGCCGTGCGGCTATTGGCTGTGATCTGTGACAAGTATCGAATATCTGAATACGCTCTACTGATGCGTAATGCGCCTGTTACGCATCAGTAGAGATTACGACCGGTAACATTTTATACCCATCTAGTCATGCGAAATCGGTGGTTTTGATTTTAACGTTTAAGATAATGATAAAAATACCGTAATAAAAATTCAAATTCATATTAAAAAAAAAACAAAAAATGGCCTCATACATTTCCAGCTTCTGTGTTAAATTGCGTTATTCAAATGTCATTATTTTTTTACTTAGTGGGTTTCAATCAAAGTAACAAATGAAGAACTACAGAGTATAAGAGTACAGCGAGTATTACTTATTAGAACTTTATAGCAACTGGGAATATTCCTACCGATTTCAACGAGAATGGGGTCTATTTACCATTTTTTTTTTTTTATTTCCAAAACTAGTAAGCTAATGCACTTTAAATCACAATACACCAAAACATTTTACTTTCAACACTGGTTGCACGTTTCGCTAACCAAGTGAGCATTATCAGCAGATGGTTAAAACTAACCTATTAATGAACAACCATTTCAGATACTAATAGAAAACATACTGAGTAATTTTAGTAGTAACAAAAAGACCATTCGTATTCTTGATTTACAAAAAGCATTTGATACTGAGAATCATAGTAGATTACTGGAAAAACTTATACAATATAATAAAAATAAATAAATAAAACAATATAGGTATTAAAAGTAAAACTTGTTCATTACTTAAAAGTTATTTGACAGAAGTCAAGCCTCACTGCAAGACGTGAAAGAATCGCTGGAAGCTAATATACTGAGTTTAAATGTCTCAATAACTAAATATGTATATGGCTTTCTCACAAACTGTTTTTTTATGAACAATTCAATCTCCCTTTTTCTATTTCCAACAAGTACACATAAATGGCAGAATATGTCATATGATTTCTTGCCAAAGTACTTTCATAAGATCTTTGTTTTTAGGTTTGGTGGACATATTTTCATTTCACCGATTTCAGATTAAATTATAAAAATAACATTGAAGATACAGAAAGATATAGAAAATAGTTTTAAAATTTTAAATGTTTCTTAGTAATAAAAAATATTGAAAAACAGATATTTTTTATGGTTGCTTATTTTTAATTTTTTTATGGTTATTTATTCACAGAATATGCTTACTTAAATTAAATTCGAACATTTAGAATCCTCATATGGATTTTATCCAAAAAATACCCCTCAGTAAATCGACTGAAGAATAATTATCCCAAGTAGCATTTTTGGACACATTTCAGGTAATGTTTCTCATAATCGTGTCTATTTCTTGACATAAAATGGAAACGATATGCGACAAATAGGATATATTTTCGAAACCTATAGATTTTATATGGCTTTAATACATGTGTTTCCAATGTAGTGGCACTAGCCGTTTCCTGCAATGTTTCGACGCGGAATTAAAACTTTTAGAGGAAATATTTCAAAACATTTTCTGCAATTTGTGTCCAAGATGTTTCCGTTTTCAGCAGCCACTGTTTCTAATTGTGAAGAAACAAAATACCAAACTAAAATGTATGTGTGTGAATTTCAAAATAAAAACAACCATCAACAATATCGACCTCTATCATAATTTTTTTGCCTTAAGATCTTTGTTTTTAGGTTTTCTCGCACAAAAAATGTCTGGCAAAAGCAAATTCATCTTTTAATTTAATAATGCACTTTCATATTTTTAATGCCCCTTCTATATATTATTATTTGTTGCTATAAAATATTTTTGTTTTGCTGGTAACATTTACTCACCATATCTCCTTTCTTCTGCTTTTTTAATTATAGTACTATAAAACTTGAAGAATGCTTAAATGCAAAAACCGCAGGACAAAATCCAAACAATAAAGTAAGGTTATGTTCTCATATTTGACAGAATATCAAAAAAATTATGGAAACTTCAGGTACAAAACGGATACGAAATCTTTATAAATATGAGCCACATCTGTTTCTTAAAAGTTTCGAAAAATTTGTGACACTAAGATCTTTATTGTTATAGCTTATGTAGCGAAACCATAATTTGGGAAAATGTTGCGAAACAAAAAGCGATTTATGTTTCGAAACATATGTATCAAAAATGTGACAAAACTGTTATGTAATGTTCCTCAGCAGAGATTGTGTTTCGATTTTGTGTGTAAAAATGCTACTTGGGATTAAAAGAATCCTTAATTTATTCAAATGAGTAATTTACAATATTTAAAAAGCTCCATTTCCTTTTAGTCCCCAAATTACTAAAATAACTCAAATAACTAGCCAGGTTAGTTATTGCTTAACTGAATTATCAAGTTATACTAAATTTGATAATTTAGTTTCACTTAAAAATAAAATACCTTTTAGCGTTATGTTTTTGTACGTTACAGTTTGTAGCCACTTTTTGTACATGATCCGTTTCCCATTTTGGCTTTTCCGAATAACCTTGAAAAAAACTTTAGTAAATCAATATTTAATATATATTTATTTTTATTCTACCTAAACTAGCTGCCAACAATCTATGCACCATTATATCCGCATATCTTCTTATAGGAGAAGTGAAGTGGGTATATAGTGGGACGCTTAATGCATAATGAGCAAACTCACTTTCGTTGTCCATAATAGAGGAACAAAAATAATTTGCTCTTGTCATTGGCTTTGCAAATAAATGGTTTAGAACAATGCCTCTGCAGAAACCTGTTAAAAAAAGCACAAATAAATTATTTTAAACAATGTCCTCCTATACATTGTTCTTAAATAATACATTAATTAATTAAACATTTATTATATAAAAGAATTAACAAAAATATTTCATCATAGTAGGTTCTTATACAGGGTGTTTCAAAACAAATGCGAAAAACTTCAGGGGGTAATTCCTTGTTCAAAATAAAGGGTAGTTTGCTTCATAAACATTGGGTCAAAAGTCTACCATTAGGGAGATATTGCGGTACAAAGATGGCGGAAAATAATGTTTTTATTATTTATCTTGAAAACGAAAAGAGATAGACTAATAAAATTTTATGGAAGCATTACTGTCTGATGAAAAAACACTTTCTGGTAATTTTTTCACTTTTTTAAAATGAGTGGAAGGGGTTGAAATAAACTACCCCTATCATTCTTGTTAACGAAATTTAAAGAAAAATCTTATCAAACACATGCAAATAAATTAATTTGGATAGTTTAGTTTGTTTAGAAACTTTTTTATTTCTTGTATTTTTTTGATAAAACTCACCGATTTGAAATTAAAAAATAAAATGTAAGGCATTACATGTCAGGACAAAAAACATTTTCTGATAAAGAATCTAGTGGGCTGCTGTAATTTTTTTAGGAAAAAATCTAGTCGGCCGCTGTTACTTTTTAGGATGTTCCTAATATTATTTTATTTGACATTACTCTACTGCAATACGTTATTATCTAGATGATTATTATTATCGTTGGTTATCACTAGATTCTTAATCTAAAAATGTTTTTTGTCCTGACATGTAATGCTTTACATTTTATTTTTTAATTTCCAATCGGTGAGTTTTATCAAAAAAACAAAAGAGGTAAAAAAGTTTCTAAACAAACTAAACTACCCAAATTAAAGCATTTGCATGTGTTTGATAAGATTTTTCTTTAAATTTCGTTAACAAGAATGATAGGGGTAGTTTATTTCAACCCCTTCCACTCATTTTAAAAAAGTAAAAAAATTACCTGAAAGTGTGTTTTCATAACAGTAATGCTTCCATAAAATTTCATTAGTCTATCTCTTTTCGTTTTCAAGATAAAAAATAAAAACATTATATTTCCGCCATCTTTGTACCGCGATATCTTCCTAATGGTTGACTTTTGACCCAACGTTTATAAAGCAAACTACCCTTTATTTTGAACAAGGAATCACCCCCTAAAGTTTTTCGCATTTGTTTTGAAACACCCTGTATACCTACAGGGTCCGGCAATAGTGCGTCGGGCATCTGTAGATCCTAGAATAAAAAACTTGTGAATTTTATTTAAGTGTAAACCCCACAGTGGCTTTATCGACGATTTTGAACACACTAAATCCAAAAAATTCCTGGTTTTTGTGGAGATGTTTTTAAAAACATTTATTAAACAAGCGGGAGTACAATACGCGTTGATGGATTCTGAAGGAACCCTGTGCCTGCGTCGTGCAGCGGCTTAAATATGAACATAAGTGCTGATGAATATAAAGTATAAGATTTCTACAGGGTGTGTTAATTATACAATTATAACTAGACTATCTAAAGTAAATACCTAATATACATGGTGACGCACCCCATTCGCCTCGGTTGATTATACAAAAACGGAAAGATGTAGAAACAAAATATTTTATGGGTATATGTAGAGAGACAATGCGCATAATTTAAAATTATTTTGAAATGTACAGGGTGTGTCAGAACTAAGATCCATACCAAAGTTATATTTTTTCTTATGGAACACCGGGTATTTTATTTCATTTTTGGATTCTTGGACATAAAATAAGGCATTTATTATAAGGGTTTGATATGTCTAAAGCTTTGGTTTTTGAGATATTTAAAGATATTTAAACATGTATGCTATAATAAAAAGGTTTGTCAACACCTTGTACATTACTTTTCAGAATTAATTCTGGTGCTGACTTTCAAGCTAAAGAAATAAACTTAACTAAAAAATTTGATTGCTTCCTTAAATGTATACAGGGGTATCAAAAATTGCTGGTCTATTTTAGCTATTTATTTCATAAAAACTTCGTTATTTCAAATGCAACACTATTCAAACTATATTAGGGTTTCCTATACCTATCTGGCTCAGATTTTGAATAAAAAACGATTTTTCAATAAAACTGTAATCAAGATGGCTGGTGTCGTCATGGCAATTTTCTAGTAACACTTAGTAGCTATTTTCAAAATCGACATTAGTTTATGGACTTTATTTAAATTTATAACAGTTAATTTTTTATTTAATTTACCCACAACAGTTTAATAAGTAAGCATTTATTATTTTTTAAGAAAAATAAAGAAATAGTTCTTTGATTTATATTACGATGACTTGTAGATGTATTGGATTTTCTATAAAAAAATCAATTAAGACAAATTCATTTTCTTCACTTCCAACGACAGATTTCTGCCTAATAGGTTTTTCATCAACTCTGCGAAATAGGAAAAGTAGTTTTTTAAAGGAACGCTTATCAGGAAGATTCCTATTAAGATATCTTTGAGCATAAACCCTTCAGGCCAACAAATAATAACTGTCCTCACAAAATAAAATCACTAGTAACATATGCATTCCTTCGGCCACCAGATACTGCTTCATTTTTCTTGATAAAATAATAAATACTTACTTATTAATACTATTGTAGGTAAATTAAATAAAAATAACCTGTTATAAATTTAAATAAAGTCCATAAACTAATGTCTATTTTGAAAATAGCTACTAAGTGTCACTAGAAAATTTTCATGGCGACACACCAGCCATCTTGATTACAATTTTATTGAAAAATCGCTTTTTATTCAAAATCTGAGCCAGATAGGTATAGGAAACCCTATTATAGTTTGAAAGAGCATTTAAATCTGCTTCGACTTATTTAAAAAAATACATAATGTTGCATTTGAAATAACGAAGTTTTTATGTAAAATAAATAGTTAAAATAAACCAGCAATTTTTGATACCCCTGTATACATTTAAGGAAGCAATCAAATTTTTTAGTTAAGTTTATTTCTCTGCCTTGAAACTCAGCACCAGAATTAATTCTGAAAAGTAATGTACAAGGTGTTGACAAACCTTTTTATTATAGCATGCATATTTAAATATCTTTAAATATCTCAAAAACCAAAGCTTACAGGTGCGCCACCCTGTATAAATCATACAGGGTGTACAAAATTCTACTCCAAACTTTTTAAAATATAAAATAATTGTTCTTCGTTTTTTTAAAAACCTGTATATTATTTTTTTCAATAGATGGAGAAAAATTAACATTTTTTGTATTTAAAGTATTTCAAAATTTTTAACGGTTTCGTAGATATTCGCGGTTTTATGTTTTATTTTTTATCAAAGCCACCCAATGATTTTTCTCCCGTATTTTACCGTTGAAAGAGCCATATGAAATAATACTGCGTGTATGATGAAAACCATTAAAAATTTTGAAATACTTTAAAAACAAAAAATGTTCATTTTTTAACTCTCTATGTAATAAAAAAATAATATACAGGGTGTTATATTAAAAAAAACAAAGAAAAATTATTTTATATTTTAGAAAGTTTGGCGTAGAATTTTGAAGACCCTGTATGATTTACGAGTACCATATTTGTAGCAAAGTAAGTACAAACCTGCTAAAGTAAATACCTAATATAGTTTTCATTTCAGGAGAGTTCTTGTATTTGTAATATTTTTTTAGAGAAAGTTGAAAAATATATATTTTTTATTTATTTATTAATATCTCTGAAACTATTGAAATACACTACTCAAAACAATTATCGCATATTTGAATAAAAGTAATTATTACATATTTCTCAATGAGGCATACGCTTTTCTGCATTTCTCTTGTGAGTTTTTTAAGGATGATTAGGGTACGCACTGGCATGTAATTTTTAGTCGGCCGACTACTTAGGCGCAAAAGTGAAAACAATACATTCTTCTGGAGCCGATCGGCCCAATATTTGATTAATTGTTGCCTTAGGCTATGCGCTGAAAGGCAATTTTTAATCGGCCGACATTTAGTTGCATATTTGTAACCAATATGTCCTTATAAAGCCGCGCTCACATGCAATCAAATAGTCGGCCGATCGACTTCATAAGTATATATTGTTTTCACTTTTGCAACTAAATAGTCGACCGATTAAAAACTACAGTTCAGCGCGTGGCCTTATTGTATCGAATTTCCCTTCACAGTGTCCATACTATTTAAAATCGTAAGTCAGGGAACTCAAAGTGTCTTGTTTTTCAAATTAATATTTTTTTTAGAAAATATGCGATAATTGTTTTGAGTAGTTTATATTTACTCATATCTTAGGATTATGGAAAATGATCTGAAAGGAAACCAAAAATGCAACAATATACAGGGTGTTCCATTTAAAAAAAATATCCCGATCCACTCACACTTTTTTTGAACCACCCTATAAAAGTTAAAATATTTTCCTGAAACATATCCCCGTACATTCTTTAGATTTACACTTAAACAAAATTCTCAAGTTTTTTATTTTAGGAGGTACAGATGCCCGACGCACTACAGCCGGACCTTGTATACAGGGTGGTCCGAACTGTATTCCGCAAACTTTCGCAGCATATTCTACAAATAAAAATAAGTAAAAAAGTTCGTATAAATTTATGTCCTAAAATGTTTAGTTTCGGAAATACAGGGTGTAGAAGTTTCACTTTTATTTCGATTTCCTCCAAATAATTTTTGAAGTAACGTCAATATTTGCGTTAAGAAATTTGATTTTGATGTCAGTATGACTCCTACTTATAGAGGGCGCTGCCTACATATTTTTTAAGTGGTTTGGAGGGTAATAACTTTTCGTCCGTACCTGTATAAAACTATTTAGTAAAAAATATACATTTGCAACCTTTTTTTACATAAAAAAGGTTTCTTGATAAAAATCGCTACGAGTAATGTATTATATATTGGTGAATGCGCTGGTATACATATTGTAATAGAAGGTATTGTGAGTTGCATAACATCGTCTTTTAGTTTAGTGCTGTTGCTGTTGTCTTTGGCATAGTCA